GTCGTGCCTCTACCAATAAGAAAGGCCAATAAGAAAGGCCTTGTTCAAGGCCAATAAGAAAGGCCTTGTTCGAGATCGGGATCGGGTGGTTGATTTGCTGAGGGCCATGAAGGTCAAATTCAAAGGTGAGATTCGACTAGTGGAGGAAGGGGTTTTCCCTGATGCTATGTCTACCCTACTGAATTCGAGGCCGAGAAGGACGCACTTGAGGTTGCAGAAGGAAGCTGAGGAGCTTCTTATTGGACTCTCTTTCAACCCCCTTGCTACTGGTGTTATCGGCACCACTACAAGGGGTAGGGCCTTTTGGCTTGTTAGTAATCTCTTGGAACACACATGGGTTGGGAGGAATGTGTCGTAGAAGGAAGCTAAGATGGTTGATCCTTCGCTGCAAACTTAATGTGCTTGTTTTGCAGGAGACGAGGCTCCCTTATGTTGAGGTTTTCCTTTTGCGTACTTTCTGAGGCATTGGCCTTTTAGACTTTGCTTTCTCTCCTTCCTCTAGTTTATCTGAATGACTCTCAACTCTTGGGGACCCCTCTGTCTTTTTAGGGCATATTTTGGACTTGAACTGTCAATGTATATCTGTTATATTTTTGGGTCTTGCTAATTGGGTTTGGTGCTTATCCAATGTTTATGGGTGGAACGTGCTTAGTGAGAAAGAAGAGTTCCTGAACTCTCTCTCTAACACTATTTCTAGGGTTGGGGGGTCCCTTGGTGTGGGCTGGGGACTTTAATATGGTCCTAGGATCACATGAAGTGCTTACTCCTTTTGTGATCTCTCCGTCTATGGCCTTGTTTGATAACTTTATTTCTAATCATGGTTTGCTGGATATTGAAATTGTGGGTACCAAATTCGCTTGGTCCAACAATTCGTCTTCCGACCAAAAAATATCCCAGTTGGATCGTTTTCTGGTTTCTAGTGTTTGGGATGAGCTTTTTCCAAGACCTTGGTTAGAGGCTTGCCTCAGTAGGCCTCTGACCACGTTCCGAATGCTTTGGATACCCAATTCTGCTTTGAACTGATGTGGTTGGAAGATAAATCTCTAACTGATGTTGTCCATCGTTGTTGGGCTATTGTTTGCTTCATCGCTGGCCAGGTTTGGTTTTGTCCAGTAAGCTTAAGTTATTGAAGAATAACCTTAAGTTTTGGGGCATAACTAAATTTAATTATATTGCCGATAACATTGATAAGCTTGAACGTGATATCTCCGCCCTTAACTCCTTGAAACAACTCAATGGGGGTCGCTCCTTAGATCATGTGGATGTTAGAAATTCTAAAACGCATGATCTTGAGGACCTTCTTAGACGTGAGGAAATTTTTTGGTACCAAAGATCTAGATTCAAGTGGGTTAACGAAGGAAATAATAATACCAAATATTTTCATGTTATTGCTAATTCGAGGAATATACCCAATTGTCTTTCTAGTTTATCGATTCAGGGTGTTGGTATGGATAATCCGTTGGCTGTTAGTAATGCTATTGTCAATCATTTAACCAAGCCTTTTCGTCTGAGACTAGGTTGCCCTTTGACTTCGGGGATGTGCCTTTTATAGCCCTTTTCGAGGCTTCTACAGTGTGCTTAAAATGTTAGTTTACCATTGAGGAAATTAGAAAAGTGATTTTTTATATGCATAGGGATAAGGCCCCTGGCCCGGACGGCTTCCCCTTGGCTTTTTTTCCAAGAGTTCAGGGAGGTCCTTCAGTTTGACATTATTCGTTGGTTCAACCAGTTTTATAATGATGGGATTGTGACCAATGCTATTAATTCTACTTTTATAACTCTTTGACCTAAAAAATGTTATATGGCTTACATTTCTGATATTCGACTGATCAACCCCCTCTCTAGCCTGTATAAGATTTTAGCTTAGGTCTTGGCTAACTGTCTTCGCCTGGATATCAATGAGGTCGTCGAGGGACCTCAAACTGCTTCCATTAAAGATCGTTATATCATGGACGGTATCTTACTTGCTCAAGAGACTATCCATACCACTGAATCCTTGGGTCTTAGTGGTTTGTTACTGAAGATTGATTTTGAAAAGGCTTATAATTGGGTGGAATGAGATTACCTTGATAATATTATGGCTCAAATGGAGATTGTGGATTCGGGGTTGTCTTTCGTCTGCCCACTTCTCTGTCTTGATTAATGGTAAAGCTCATGGCAACTTCTGTGCCATTAGGGGCCTCAGACACGGGGATCCTCTCTGTCCCTTCCTCTTTACCCTTGTGGCTGAAGCTTCAGTAAAATGCTGCAAGGTTTGGTGGAGGATCTGATGATAACGTATATAATATCTAGCTTTTTCTTAAGCTTTATGAGTTAATTTCAGGGGCTTGTATCAATATGGACAAGTCCAAGCTGTTGGATATTAATTGTTCCACCATGTCATTCTCTGACTGGGCTTCTTGGCTCGAATGCGGGGTGGGACAATTTCCTACCAAATATCTAGGCTTACTTCCTTCTTAATGGCAATGTTTCGAGATCCCTTTGGGATCCTCTCATTCAAAGAGCACATATTAAATTGGATGCCTGGAAGGCCCGATACCTGTCATTTGCTGCCAGAATGACTTTGATCAAAGTTACTCTTTGTAACACCCCTTTTTATTACCTCTCTCTCTCTTTCAGGTGCATGCGGTTGTTATTGTCAAAATCAAAGCTTTAATACTCAATTTTCTCTAGAGTGGATCCTAGAATAAGAAAAAGATGCATCTGGTCAGATGAGAGTCGGTATGCCAACCAAAAGCTATGGGGGGTTTGGGTATATGGAGACTTAGAGCAGTCGATGATTCACTGCTTACTAATTGGTGGTGGAGGTTGTCCATACATGGAGACCAACTCTGGGCTAAGGCGATCCTTGGCAAATATGGACTAGATCCTAATGGTCCGTATGAGAGAGGAAGACATGTCTCAGGTCACCTTTCCAGGGTTTAAAAAGGTATCCAAGGTGTTAGAATCCTCTTTTTGGCCTACTCTAGGTGGTTGGTTGGAGATGGTCGAAATAGTAGATTTTGGCATACCAAGTGGCTGGGGAAATATCCTCTTAAAATGGTGTTTCTTGCCCTCTATAACAAATATAACCAGAAAAGAGCTAAGGTTGGAGGCATGGTTTCCCTTGTTCAAGGCAAACCGGTTTGGAACGTTACCCTTTCCACTAGAAGAGTGGACCATCAGGTTGAAGACCAATTCTTGACTTTCATGGATTCTTTGTATTCATTTTGTTTCAATCCGTGGAAGAGAGACAGGTTGATCTGGAGCCTTGGGCCTTTGGGTCACTTCTCTGTCAAATCTCTCTATAAAGAAATTAGGTAGGATAGGTACCCTTGAGGATAAAAGGTATCTTGCCAAATTCTAGAAGTGCAAGGCACTCCTCAGAATTAGAGCTTTCACATGGCTTTTTGCTTACAGGAGACTGCTTACTGTCAATCAGTTGCACCGTAGAGGAAATCATTGACCATTTATTTCTGAGATGCAAGTATGCTATTGTCGTCTGAGACTGGGTTGATAGTTTGATGACCTTGCATGGACCTTGGTCACATGAGGCCAATATATTTCCACAACAACTGTGGACCCCACCCTTTGCCTTTTTGGGTCGTCACCTTTAGAGAATTACCATTGTTACATCTTTGTGGACCTTGTGGAAAGAGAGGAACTTGAGAACTCTTGAGGGTTGCTCTAGGGATTCTTCATCCTTAATTTCCAACATTCAGCGCTTGGCCATCATGTGGACTTATGCCTTTCTTCCCCTCACGACTGTTCCTAATCTACTTCTTTTCTCCTCATTTAACGACCTTTTATTTCTTAAACATCGTCGATCGCTCATTCAATTTGTGTGGTCTAAACCGTCGGATGGCTGACTAAAATTTAATTTTGATGGTAGTGTAAGGGGGCAAGGTCAGGTTATGGTGGACTTCCCTGTGACCTTGGAGACTGAGTGTCATAATGGATGAAATCCTTCTCAGGATTGAAGACAAGGAATGCATCTTCGTCCATGTCTATAGAAGCGCCAACTTTGATGCTGATCTATCGGCTAAACTGGCTACTGCTTAATTTGGTTTCAGATGTTGTTTTGAGCGCTTTGTGCTGACTTTTCCTTCCCATTGGTTTTGGTTTGTCGTTTCTTTTATTTATTTTTCCATCCCATTGGTTTTGGTTTGTTGTTTCTTTTATTTTTTTTTCCATTTTGTTGTACGTTTTCATTGTCTTAATGAATATCGCTTTATTTTTTAAAAAAAATTAATTAGATGTGAAAAATAGACCACCTACGATGAGAAAGGTTATGTCAGCAGTTGGCTAGTACTGATGGAGTGTCGATGGAGCTCTACTACTGCCTCGAATGACATTGACAAACAAATGGAGCCCTACATCTGAGCAACAATGAATTACTTTGGATCGGAAGGAGGAAATGGTCGAGTTGAATGACTAGATCGATACCCTCCTTCTTAACATAGAACTCCGCATAGTTGAGATAGGTCACATCCTATTCACCAATGAATCACTTTTGATTGTGCTCTCTCTCTCTTGCTCTTTCTCTCTCTCTAAACCACACACGCGTGATTCCCTCATCAAACTCATTTCCTCTCACCCGGAACCCAACAGTATCAGCTGTACCACATGGACACACCATTAATAAACTCCATTTATTACTCTTATATATCCCCATTCAACTACACCTAAGCTTTTCTCTTTATTCACAAGTCTCTCTGTCTCTTGTATCTCCATTGAACAACAACTAAGCCTTTCTCTTGCTGACAAGTCCCTCTTTCTTTCTCTCTCTCTCTCTCGCTCTCCACTCTCCACACGCCATGTGAAAAAACTCAACGGCCTCCTCCTCTGTTACCAAGCTCTCTTTCTCTCCATCTCTTTCCTTAAAACTCTAAGTCTCCTTCGTCCCTGTTAACAAACTCTCTCTCTCTCCTTCTTCCCTGTTAACAAACTCTCTCATCTCTTATCAATCCAAAAAACCAAAAAAGAAAAAAAGTTCTCTTAATCTTTCTCTCTCATCAACCATGATCTCAGGAAAGGATTTCTATGATGTTTTAGCTGCCATGGTCCCTCTCTATGTGGCCATGATGTTGGCTTATGGATCAGTGAGGTGGTGGAAAATATTTACTCCTGATCAATGCTCCGGCATAAACCGCTTCGTGGCAGTTTTTGCAGTGCCTCTTCTCTCTTTCCATTTCATCTCAACAAATGATCCATACTCCATGAATTATAGGTTCATAGCAGCTGATACCCTTCAGAAAGTAGTGATCTTGATTGCTTTGGGAGCATGGGTGAACCTAGCAAAAAACGGAAGCTTAGAGTGGATGATCACCTTATTTTCTCTCTCTTCACTACCCAACACTCTGGTCATGGGGATCCCTCTCTTGAAGGCCATGTATGGGGAGTTTTCAGGAGCCCTCATGGTGCAGGTATGCTTCTATAGTCTTTTTCTTTTGGTTTCTCTCTATAAAAAGGTTTCTCTCTCTACAAATTTTATCTTCTCCTAGAAGGCCAACCTCATGGTGAATGTAGGCTTTTCTCTCTCTGTTTATGTTCGGTGACTCTCTTTAGAGACACAGCTACCTACATGTCAATCTCACCATGAAGCATCCATGAAATGAGAAATAAAATGTTTCTCTCTCTAGAAATCTATCTCCTCTCTTAGAGGTTGTTGCATTTGGGATTCTCTATTCTCTCTCTAGAGATTCAGCCACCCATATCCCAATCCCACCCTTTAACATCCAACAGAAGGGAAAAAGGACCTTTCTCTATCTAGATATTTATCTCCTCTCTCTTAGACTTTAGGTGCATGTGGGGTTCTCTATTCTCACCTTATTTTGCTTCTCTCTCTAGAAATACAGCTACCCATGTCCCAACCTCACTATGTACCATACAAACTCTCTCTCTAGAAAATGAAAATGCCTTTCTCTCTCTAGAAACTCACCCCTCTCTCTCATGCAGGTGGTGGTGCTCCAAAGTGTGATTTGGTACACCCTCATGCTCTTCATGTTTGAATACAGAGGAGCAAAGGTCCTTATAACTGAACAGTTCCCTGATACAGCACAGTCCATAACCTCTTTCAAGGTGGAATCAGACATTCTCTCTCTAGATGGAAGAGAGCCTCTCCTAGCTGACGCAGAGATAGGGCAAGATGGAAAACTTCATGTGGTGGTGAGAAAATCTCTCTCCTCAAGGTCTCAAATCTCATCCTACAAATCACAGTGCCTCAACTCTGCAACCTCAGTCACACCAAGGACCTCAAACCTCACAGGTGTGGAGATTTACTCTTTGCAGTCCTCAAGAGAGCCCACACCGAGGGGATCAAGCTTTAACCACACTGATTTCTATGCCATGTTCAGTAAGTTGCCGGCGGGTGGCGGCCAAGCGAATTACGGGGAGGTGTACTCGCTGAATTCGTCAAGGGGGCCGACGCCGAGGACTTCGAATTTTGATGAGGAGGTCAGCACGAGGTTGGGGCGGATGAGGTCGCAGGACATGAAGGATGGGAAGAGTAAGAGTGGTGAGTTCGGGTACCCGGCTCCGAACCCATTGCTGTTGAAGTCTCCTAATGGGGATAACAAGAGGAGGTGCAGTGAGGTGGGGGCTAAGGAGCTGCATATGTATGTCTGGAGCTCAAGTGCTTCTCCAGGTTCAGAGGCTCATGTCCATGGGTCAGTGGCGAGAGGGGGGTCTCATGATTTCGGAGGGGCCATGGGGTTGGATTCTAAGGGGGTTAATGGCTTTACACAGTCCCCAAGGACTGGTTACAAAGGTAGGGTTGGGCTCCCTCTCTCTCTCTCTACTATTTCTTCATTCTCTCCACTACCTCTCTAATATCTACTGCTTTTGTTTTGTTGAGAGATTATGCACGGATTTTAAAATTTAGCTTGGGCTCTAAACAATCAAATTTGAACATATTTTTAAGTAGTATCGAGATATGTGGTTCAATATTAGAAATTTTTATGATAATTTTAAAATATATTTTTATATTTATTTATAAAATTTAAAGCTTCAAAAATAATGTAGATCGACATATTTATGAAAATTTGAAAATTGACGATCCAAAAATGTATTACAAAATACACTATTTCTAAAACTTGAAATCCATTTTTTTCTCGTGTCTATGTACCTTGAGGTCGAGATGAACAATTTGAAGATATTTGAGCATCAAAACAACCTTTTTTAGT